AAAGCTCAGTTCAGTTATGTTTTAGTAATTTATGACCATAAACTAATTACTTTCTCAGTACCACTCAGAGAGAAGGAACTAAAGACAAAAATCTCACATTCCATTCAGAGCACATGTATCTGGAGTAGCTGTCACTAAAAAAAAAAAAAATTCACTTGAAATTAGTTAAACCAAGCGGTATGTAACGTTTAGTCGATTTCTCCTGGTATATCAAATTATTTTCCCCTTCAATTTAGTAGAACTTCATTGAAAAGCATATATCATAATATTCATCTAGAATTAAAAACATTTCTAAATGTTAATTGAGATGATTTTCTAAAAGTTACTAACTTCTTTTAGAAGTGCTTATGTTGTTATTCCCATATAAGTGACTGACAGCAAGCTGGCATTTATCTTAGCATGTTACATACAAGAAAGATTTGTAACAGAAAACTATAGCCTAGGCTGAATTATTACTAATGAAAATAGATTAGCAATCTAAAGGTTTGTTTATTTAGAATACTGTTAATTTCTTCAAATAACAGATTATTTGATGTTGGCTTTTGCTAAATTTATCTGGATATGATGGACTGGATTCATGATAGATTTACATCATTTAAAAAATATGAGTGTGAATTTTGTCTCCCAGTGGCAATACAAGAAGGAATAGAGCTCTATGAATCCAATGGGAGATCTGACTGTTCAACTGATTTTTCCATATTTGCTTAGCTTGTACATTTCTGTTGTGTGTGTGTGTGTGTGTGTGTGTGTGTTTTCAAAAAATATGAGAGGAGAAAACTTACCTTTATAGATAGTGACTGTCTGGGGATACAAGGGAAAGCAGTTACCCTTAACATTAAATATTTCTAGTCATTACAATATATTAAAACACATTAGTAGGAGAACAGCAGGTCTCCTGAGTATCTTCAAAGTCTTTCCAATCATGATTGGAAAAATATCTAAATTGCATATTTTTTTTATTCACTAAATGAGCCCGATTTAAATAAACATGAACTGTTGGAATTATATATGATATAATGATTTTGCTCTTCATTTGACTTTGATAATAACATTAAAGGGTTTTGAGCTAACGGAGGCCAGGGTAAAATATACTTATCTTATTTTTCATGTTAATCAATATTTTATTCTCACAGGAAGATCTCTTCTGTTTCATATCTTAGCTTCATTTCTACATACTTAAATTCAGTAACTTAAAAAAGATTAATGCTAAATATAAATATAAAACAGTCTTCATCATAAATGTTCTCTAAGACTAATATCATCATAAAATAAACTGTAGACTGTAATTATCACCCACAAGAAAAAGCTATAAAGAAACTACTAAATATGTGTCTACTAATATGAATACCAGGATAAAATGCAATCCCAACATGGTGAAGTTTAGTTGAAACAAGAAGAGTCTCTATTTTAAAGCTTAAGTAAAGCCATTTTTAAGTTGACTTTTTTTCTAATTAAAATGATTTTCATTAAATACTTGAAATGACTAGTGTTATATGAATTGAACTTAATCTTAACTTTTATTAGATTATCAGACTATGTTTTCAATTCTAATAGAATTCTTATTGATGTGATTTGCCTGTTTTTTCCTAAAATAATACTATTTGGTGAACATGTCATTTGTTGACAATCATTAGATGATATATCAAAATCCCTATGTAAGAATCAATAAAGAATGCAAAATTTTCATCAAAATACTTACTAGCATGATTGTAAACTGCCTAGATAATTTGCTTCCTTTAAAGGTCTACCTCACTGAAAATCATGTTTCTACAAACTGATTTTTCTCCAAGAAGTATACAAGAGATAGATTTTCCTCTTATTAGATCAGAAAAGAACCAGAGGTAAAATGGTCTCACAAACGAGAAGATTTACAGGGATAACCACTTAACACTTTGCATTACCTGTTCTTCATTAACTTTTTTTCTTTTGTTTTTTATTTGTTTTTATTTTTTGAGACAAGAGTTTCACTCTGTTGCCTAGGCTGGAATGCAGTGGAACGATCTTGGCTCACTACAGCCTCCGCCTCCGCCTCCTGGGTTCAAGCAATTCTCATGTCTCACCCTCCTGAGTAGCAGGGATTACAGGTCCATGCCACTACGCCCAGCTAATTTTTAATATTTTTTAGTAGAAATGAGGTTTCGCTATGTTGGCCAGGTGGCTCTCCAACTCCTGACCTCAAATGATGCACCTGCCTCATCCTCCCAAAGTGCTGGGATTACAGGCGTG